ATGCCCAGGCCATCCTTTTTCACTGCCATGGAGGTCCCTACCCTCAATGTCCTCAATCCTAGAATTTTTCCTGCCTTCCCTTAGTATTACTCCTCTATCACAGCAAGGAACACAACAGTTGGAGGGACTCAATAAAGGCTGATATCCAGTTTCTGAGTTATCTGCATCCCCCCCCCTTTTTTTTAGGCTGTGGAGGAGACATTACTAGAGGTTGAACCCAGGGTGCTCTACTACTGAGCTGCATCCCAAGCCCTTTTTATTTTGAGACAGGGTCTTGCTATGTTGCTAAGGCTGGCCTTGATCACTTCTGCCTTAGCCTACCATGTCGCTAATGCTAGGTATATAGGCATGTGCCACCATGCCCCGCTTCATACTGTCTTTATTTCCAAAGAAATCAGGGGTCAATGATGTAACCCAGTGGTAAAGCACTTGCCTATATATGCAAAGGGCCCTGGGTTCTATCTCCAGCATGGCAAAAACAAACAAACAAAAAAAACAACCAAGAAATCAAACCAGTCTGAATAAAAATAGACAAAAAATGGAATGAACTAATTTTTCTGTTATTTATAAGTTTATTTTTTTTAAATTCATGTTACCACTGAGCTATATTTCCAGCCCCCTTTTTTTCAGCTGGGGCTGGAACCCAGGGTCTTAGGCAAGCAGGCTACCCTTTCAAGCTAAACTCCTGACCCCTATAAGTTTTAGTAAGTATATGAAATTATACTTTGGGCATGGTGATGCATCTCTGCAGTCTCAACAACTAGGGAGGCTAAGGCAGGAGAATTAGCTGAGTTCAGGAGTTTGAGACCAAATGATATAACATATGGAGACCTTCACCCAGAAAATAAGAAAAAAAATATGAAATTATAATAAGGAAGTAGTCCCTACTCTGCTCCCCCAATACAAGAAGGGAGAGCAAGGAAGAAAACTAGAGAACGGAAAAAAAAAAAGGAAAGAAAAATGGCACTGTGAAAAAGGATGTCAAGATGTATTAAAAATTTGCTTAGCAAAAGGGAGAGCCCTTGGGCTGGGGTTGTGGCTCAGCGGTAGAGCGCTCACCTAGCATGTGTGAAGCCCTGGGTTTGATCCTCAGCACCACATAAAAACAAATAAAGATATTGTGTCCAACTAAAAAATAAATATTAAAAAAAAAATTAAAAAAAAAAGGAGAGCCCTCCTGTGGTTTGTTTGTTTGCAGTACTGGGAATTGAACCCAGGGGTGCTTAACCACTGAACCACATCCCCAGCCCTTATTTATTTATATTTTGAGACAGGGCCTTGCTAAGTTGCTTAGGGCCTCACTAAGTTGCTGAGGCTGGCTTTGAATTTCAGATCCTCCTGCCTCAGACTCCTGAGGTGCTGGGTTTATGGGCATGTAACACAACGCCCGGCTAAGTCAAGGTCTTGCTGAGCTGCTGAGGCTGACCTCAAACTTGGGATCCTCAGCCTGCAAAGTAGCTGGAATTACAGGTGTGCCATCACCATTCCAGGTCCCTCCTGTGGTTTCACCAGTTGATCTGGTTTAGGGATTTTCTCTAGCAACACTCCCACACCTTCCTGTCCTACTACAGTCCTTTTCACATTGTGCACTGTACTTTGTCTCTCGCTACCACTGGACCATGAGTTCCTTAAGGACAAGGATTTGTTTGAGTCCTTGACCCCCAGGTCCTGGCACATAGTCAGTGATTAGTAAATATTTGCTAAATGAATAAAGAAGAAATTTAAAGGGGTGGGGAAGTGTGTGGTTTATCCAGAGCTGGACTGGCAAGGCAAACAGAAAAGAGGGAGGTGCTGATAGGAAAACTGCCTTGAGTTTACCCAGCTGTTAAGGAGGCTAGTAGTGCCAACTTATGACTGATGGTTCAGGAGGGCCTTTTCTCCTTTTCTCTGACCTCTACTCTGGCTTCCATTTTCACCTGCCTTTTCAAGAAACCTACAATATTGGGTATCACTTCTCTTATGTATTCATCCTCTTAGAGCTTTTCTTTGGCTTTTAAACATAATTTAGTATTTCTCATACTTAATGATCCTTCATCAACATTTACTTATTTATCTCCATTTGATTTCATGGCCAGACTTCTGTAAAGTTATATGCTTTTTCATTCTTAACACAATGGCTTCCATTACCCATAATCCCAGGCCATTAATGATTTATAAGTCAGTGAATCCTGTTGCCCTTTTCAGGCATCATATTTGAACTTTCATTAGCATCCAGTCCTGCTGGCCAATACTTTTTTTTCCAGTGCTGGGGATTAATCTCAGGACCTCACAGGTGCTAGGTAAGCTTTCTACCACTGACTAAACTTCATTATTTGAAATATTTCTTTAGATTAAGTAGGCTAGACCATTCTCGTTTTTCTCCTACTCACTGGCTATGCCTTCTCTGTCTTTGGGCCCTATGTCTGCTTCAGTTTTATAATTTTATATATATATATATATATATATTTATTTAGTTATTCATGGACCTTTATTTTTATGTGATGATGAGGATTGAACCCAGTGCCTCACACATGCAATGCAAGTGGTCTACCACTGAGCAACAAACCCAGCCCCTGCTTCAGTTCTTACTTCACCTTTTCCCCCTAAGTGATGGAATCCACTCCCATAGCTTCAATTAACAACTAAAAATACATGAGTTCCCAGCTATATCTCTAGCCCAGATCTCTTCTCTGAACTCCAAGTCATATTTATAGAACTGGCCCCATCTTCACTGCCCACTGCCATTCACCCTTCACCCTAACATGGTTTCTCTCACGAGTTCAATAATGCCTTCAATAATGCTAAATTGGATTAACACTTCATAATTCTTATCTTCCCTAACCTTTCTCTTGACACAGGACATTGTCAGCCATTCTCTTGGAAATTTTCTCTTCCCTTATTTTAGTACTCTGTCCTAGTTGAAGACTATTTCATTATCATTTTAATGGCTCTTCTATGTGCTTTTTAATTTTTTCCTCAATTTTTTTTATTATGGTAAAATACACATAATGAGGTATGGTGGTACACACCTGTAATCCCAATGATTCAGAAGGCTGAGGCTGAGGCAGGAGGATATCAAGTTTGAAGCCAGCTTCAGCAAGTTATAGAGGCCCTAAGCAACTCAGCAAGACCCTGTCCCTAAATAAATTATAAAAAAGGGCTGGGGATGTGGCTCAGTGGTTAAGTGCCCCTAGGTTCAATCCCTGATACCAAAAAAAAGGGGCTGGGGGTATATCTTAGTAGTAAAGCACTCCTGGGTTCAATCTCTGGTACCAAAAAACAAAGCCACACATAATACAAAAATTTACCTTTAACCATTTTATTTTATTTTTGGTACTGTAGATTTAACTCAGGAGCACTTAACCACTAAATTTCATCCTCAGTCTCTTTTTCTTTTTAATTTTGAGACAGGGTCTTGCTAAGTTGCTGAGGCTGACCTTGAATTTGCAATCCTCCTGCTTCAGCCTCCCAAGTTTCTGGGATTACAAGAATTGTGTCATTGCAACTGGCCCCTTAAATCATTTAAAAGTACAGTTCAGTGATTTTGAATACCTTCATAATGTTGTATAACCATTGCCACCATGCATCTCCGTAAGTTTCTCATCTTATAAAACTGAAATGCTACATGTTAAACAATAACTCCCCATTTCCCACTTCGCCCACCTCTTGAAAACGACCAATCTACTTTATGATCTTTGACTACTTTAAGTATTTCATGTAAGTGGAATCATATTTATTTTCTTTTTTTGACTGGCTTATTTCACTTAGCATAATGTCCTCAAGTTTCATCTGTTCTATCTTCTTCTTGGGACTGGTTTCTAAAACCTGAGGAAATATAAAGTACTGACTTATTAAGTAAAGACCAATTTATGCCACATCAGAAAGAGCTGGCTGGAAGAAAATGAAGCCAGAAGCACAAGAATGTTGTCCAAATATTTTGGTTCTTATAGAACAAGATCAGTTAGCCCTGACTTTATCCTCTCCTTTTGGGACTAGTGAAAAACTAATATCAGGTCATCCCCTTTCAAAATTCTCAAAAGGTTAATTCATTATCAAAGTTCAATTTCTTTTTTTTTTTTTTAAATATTTATTTATTAGTTATTGGCGGACACAACATCTTTGTTTGTATGTGGTGCTGGAGGATCGAACCTGGGCCGCACGCATGCCAGGCGAGCGCGCTACCGCTTGAGCCACATCCCCAGCCCCTAAAGTTCAATTTCTTAAAACCAATAGCTATTGAGTAAAGTTAGTAAACACACTTAGCTTAGCTTGGGCCTGGGGATGAAGCTCAGTGGTAGACAGTGTGCTTAGCATGAGGCCCTACGTTTCATCCCCACTACCACAAAAATAAATAAATGAACACACTTAGCTCTATACTTGAGTGCTACTGATATTTATTGAAAGCACTACAAAACAAGCCAGGACTAAAAGCTGCTATTTTACAGGAACAGATATTGGTGTAATTTCCTTCCTGAAGAGAATATGCACTCAAGTCATGAGACCTAAGATAAAACAAAGACTGTATTGTCAAGAATCAAACATAGTATATATTATACCTATTAATAGAAAAAAAATGCTAAAGGCAAAATGAGATGTTTAAAAATATCGATGCTAAGCTCACGTAGGCAAACAAAAACCTAACACTAATCCTAAAATTTTAGGACATAAGATCTAGATATAATGTGACTATTTAAAATTTAAAATTTTTGCATCAAAAAAAATTTTTTTGCATTAGTAAAAATTTGTTCTTCACTGTACTTGTACAATTATGTGCTTGTTGCTCTTACACTACACAAAGTCAATAGTTATCACCAACAATGGAATATAAGTAGATCTGAATAAGACTTCAAAGTGACTCTGCTCCACTCAAAAGCAGAAAATTCAATCCAGGATTAGTAACACCTTTTGATTTTAGAGCCAGTTTACTCTCTCTTTTTTCATGTCATATTAAATTAAGTCCTCACTTAACATTTCCCACCTGTAAATTACAAGGCATATCTACCACCATCTTTTTCTGACACTTTAAAATTAATCTGTAGAAATTGCAAAAACAATGAAATTGTATTTTCAATTCTGAGCCGGCAATCAGATTCCTGCTTTGACACAAAACATACTCCTCTGCAGTGTATCCCACCAGCACAGCGACCCCCTTTCTTTCTCTCTATTCCTTTGCCCTGAAGGCACTTCTGGATTGCTTAATACGTGCTCTTTGGCTGCCTACACAGTCAGGACACCTATGACCATGTGAACTTATCACTCCTCTCCTCCTTCTTTTCTATGGCTAATACCACTTTCCTCCTTTCTTTGTGTGGCTGAATCTGCAGACTTGGTGTTGTCATCAGGGGGACAAAGTCGATTTCGGCTTCGAGCTCCTGGTTGGTAGAGCTGCATTGCTGGACGATCCTGAAGCAAAATAAAATATGTACATATTATAACATTCTATTAAGCTTTCACATAGGGTTTTCAGAGTCATAAATTATGTATTAATATATACCAAACTAACTGAGCACACAGTATATGACAATTGTCCATCTACTCTCTCCAAAGAAAAGCAAACACTTCTGTAAGTATTATTTTATATGCCTAAGGTAAATTTTTGAGAAATCAACCGCCTAATTTTCTTAACCATTTTAACATGAACTAATTACTTTGAATTTTTTAAATCTTCAAAACCACAGCCATCAGGTATTTCTTCTCCCCATCAGTAAACTGACTTTAAAATGCAACACCACATAAAAGTGTTTAGGAGGGGTTGAGGATATAGCTCGGTGTTAGAGCGTTTAATTAGCATGTGTGAGGCCTCTGGGTTTGTTCTCTAGCACTAAACATGCAAAAATGCTTAGAAGTGAAAACAAATATAAGAATGATGCAATAGAAGAATGAGAACTCTTAAATTAGAAATTTCCCTGAAATTCTGATCTCAGATCCATAGAACATGCTATAAACATGGCATTTTTTTTTCCTCACTAAATTGCCTAATCTGGCCTTAAACTCACAATTCTCCTTCTTCAGCCTCTTGTTTGGGGGGATGGGGGGTTGAACTCAGGCACTCGACCACTAAGCCATATCCCTAGCCCTATTTTGTATTTTATTTAGAAACAGGGTCTCACTGAGTTGCTTAGCAGTCTTGCAGTTGCTGAGGCTAGCTTTGAACTCTCAATCCTCCTGCCTCAGTCTCCCAAGCAGCTGGGATTACAGGAGTATGCCACTGCACCCAGCCCTTCCTCAGCCTTTTAAGTAGCTAGGATTACAGGTGTGTGCTTCTGTGCCCAGCTAAAGCATTATTGTTATTATTTTTTCATACAGATAGGCATTTACTAGAAAAGTGAGAAATGAGTATAATATACAGTATAGGCACTGTGTGAACCACCTCTTCAGAGAATGGCTTATTTATCTACAATAAATATCCACATGTCCTTCTCCTAGATTACTTTTAACATTTTATCATATTTGCTTTGTCTCTAATGTATGTGTGCACATATTCTTTTCACACACACACACAATTATTTCTGCAGAACCATTTGAGAAGTTAGGACCCTTTATCCATAAATAATTCAGCTAGTTATTTTCACTGACATTGTTATAATCACAGTAAAACTGCTATTGATTAATCACAGCATCACAAAGAAAAGGACACCCAGACACCATGGTTCCTGAAGTGATGCAATCGAAAGGAAGTACAGCATCACCTAAAAAGTATTCTTGCCAAAGATTATGGCTGAATATATCCAAGTGTCTAGATTACAGGTGGCCTGGTTTTGTAAATAAAGTCTGACTGGCACAGTCATGCTCATTTTTTTTCTAGGGCTGAAGCCAGCCTTAAATATTTACCATGAGGTCCTTTACAGAAAGTTTGTTGGCCTCTGCCCTAGAAATAACTACTGATTTTATTTTTTTCTTTTTTAATTCTTTATTTTTGGTACTGTGGGTTGAACCTAGGTCCTTGTGCACATTAGGCATGCACTCTGCCACTGGGCTAGAACCTCAATTGTTTATTACTAGTTTTTAAAAATATTTTTTAGTTATAAATGGATCTTTTATTTTACTTTTTTTTTTTATATGCGGTGCTGAGGATCGAACCCAGGGCCTCACATATGCCAGGCAAGTGCTCTACCACTAAGCCACAACTCCAGCACCTGATTACAAGGAAAAATGGAAGATACATGTTCAATGATACCAAAGACATGTAATTTGCCATTCTAGAATGTGAGAAGCTCTACAAGAAAAATTGGTTTCTGCAACAAGTAAATAAATGGTAGGAAAACAAAAAAGGGAAACTTGTTTAGGTTAAGAGAGAACTCCCAACTACTATGTATAACCGTAAAGTTCTAACAAAAAAGAACTTAAGGAGACATTTCAAGCAAATATAATTTCTGGACCTTTATATGAATATATGACATTATTATTTTTTTTTTAAAGAGAGAGTGAGAGAGGAGAGGGGGAGAGGGGGAGAGAGAGAGAATTTTTAATATTTATTTTTTAGTTCTTGGCGGACACAACATCTTTGTTGGTATGTGGTGCTGAGGATCGAACCCGGGCCACACGCATGCCAGGCGA